TGAAGGCCTTCGATAACGGCAGGTACATTTATGGTGCCCCCATCACCAACATACAGAGCTTTTGGATTATCGATGTCGTTAACCGCGTCCGAAATGAAAGAAAACCGCTCATCGCTCTGAATTGCCTCTTTGCCTTCAAGCAAATCGTAGTCAGTTACTCCCAACGCTTTGAGGTTTTCTGCAGCCTTGTCAATGTTGCCCTCACTACTTTCGACAGTAGCATCGCCAAACCAAAGGCAGCCTGTTCTATCCAGAAGGGAGCTGTCATTTAACTCTTGCATGAGCTTGTCCCATTCTTTACTTGACTCGATAGCCAGTTGGCACAGATATCGCTCTGAGTAGCAGATACGAAATTGGCGACTAAACCCAGGACTTGAACCATATGTGTTTCCAAATTTGTACTGCTCAATGATCATTACTTTCTTTCCCTCTTTGACAGCGCACTGGTACGCCGCGGATAATCCCATGGGGCCACCGCCGACCACGATCACGTCGTATAATTCAGGGTCACTCGCAGCCATGATCGTTTGTTTTGATGCCGTTTCCTTCTAACCCCGCCCACGCGATCTCTTCTTCTGTTCTGTCTAAAGTTTTAGTGTGGATGAACTGTGAATGGAATAATGTAAAGACTTAGCAATTATGAGTCAAACGTGACCTGTCTTAGTAACCTTAGAATATGCATGGTAATGCCGCTAAAAAGTCTTTGAAAAGTGCGTGGTTCCTTTTCTTGAACAGATAAAACATTGCCTAAATATCTGGAGGGGGGCATAGTTGGTTAAGATAAGGTTGAGCCTGGGTAAATTTCTGAGTCAGTGTGTTCTTAAATTTTAGTTAATCTCAGCTCAGCCTCATCGTTCTTATGAAAAGGTCCTTATAAAAAATAATACGTGTATAGGTAACTTGTAACCACAGGGGACCCACACACTTTATCAGCAATAAAAATAAATGTACTGTTATTTACCTGTGTTCCTGTGTCTTTTTGAGTCGTTTAGAAGGGATTTGAATGAAGCGAAGGCGGTTTACATTTCCGAATATTATTTCGTCTGCCGCTTTGTAATTATGACGCTCCGATTACGTCTCAAGTCTCGATTAACGTCGTTAACTATTAACTCTCATCGCGGAAGAGAAGGAGAAAAGGGAACTAGCCTGCGTAGGAAGCGATTTCGTCGGGTTGGAGAGCAGAGAAAGACCGAGAAACGGGATTTGCGGTGTTTTGCCCGCGTGGTAATTCTTTGCTCCCGAACCCCAGAGAAACGCTTGCTACGCAGGCTAAAAGAGAACGCGCGGCCGTTATGAAAGCTGAGAATCTCTCCCCCCGATGAGAGTTAATAGTTAACGACGATGATAGAAACTTAAGGTGTAATTGGAGCGTCATAATTACAAAGCGGCAGAGATAATATTCGGAGGCAAAAAAGACACAGGAACACAGGTAAATAAAAGTACACTTATTTTTACTGCTGATGTAGTGTTCGGGTCCCCTGTGGTGTAACCTTTGCTGCAGCTGAGGCCAACGTAGTTATTTGCACGTTGCTTTGAAAAAAATTTGTTATCTTCTGCACCGCTCAACGAGATCGTTAGATAGAAAGGTTTTTATTCCTTAATAATTGCAGACGAAGTCGATAGCAGCTGTCATTTTGAACAGTTTCATGGTATAAACACCAAATAGCACTTTTCTATGCAAGCGTCAAGGATCCCTCCCCCGTTCTGTCAGTTGTAACACACCTAGCCCTTTGATATCAAGAACAGCTCTTTCGCTGCCAATACAAATACAACTTTTAATTGTATGTTCTTACCGGTTGTAACTTCAGTGGGGCAGCGAGGTAGTAAAGGGCTTGTGCTTAAATGACGAGGTGAAAACTGTTGCAGCGAAAGCAGGTTGCTTTTATTTATGTGAAGGTCAAAAAGCCATGAACACTTTGATTTCACTTTGACAGGTCGATAGGTGTGTAGCCACCAATCAGTTGAGAGCATAAGTTGTTATAACACTTGAATAAACACTGATCACGCCTCCTGCCAGTTGGGATTTTGAAGCCTATTATGTTTATTTGAAATGCTTCTTTCTTTTAGTTTAAGCATAGTTAATAGAGGGGAATGGTTATGAAACCCTTCAAAGTTCTTTTGTTGTGTGTTTTTGTTCGCTTTTTTGGCCTTGACCGTGCACAAAACACAATAGTTGTTTACTCCGTACTGAGGAACTAACCAATAGAAACGTGTTGGTTACGTAATTCATGCATAGTGTATGAGCGCAAAACAAAAGATTCTGCACGRTCGTGGACCTTCCGAGACAAATCTTGGCATCTTTGTTTGCTCCTTTGAGGTTTACCGGGCTTCATAACCAGTCCCCTCTACTAACTATGGCATGACCGAGTAGTTGAACTAAAGTCCACCGAGAAAGAACTCCAGCTAAGTGGTCAGAGCGGGAGTTGAACCCACTGAAAAGAACACAGGTTGTTTTCAACATCTATGACTTGACACTAAATAGAACACAACTGAGCTGTTTTCGAATTCTTCAGCCTTGACACTGAAAAGCACACAGGTTGTTTTTAACACCTATAGCTTGACACTAAATAGAACACAACTGAGCTGTGTTCGAATTCTTGACAAAGGGCAGCAGACGACACACGCCTCGTTAAATCCAGCTGGCTGCCCATTTCTTACTTTTATCAAAGTATTTAATGAATCTTCGAGTCATTCTGGTATTCCATTTCTGGCGTAAAGCTTTAGAAGAAGCGGAAAACTTTTTAAGAAGTTTGGCGCAGTTTTATGACGCGTGTTATAAGCTTCATTCTTGAGCGTTCGTAACAGAAGAGCACTTGAAGGTTCCAAAAGCGTAAGGGCGTGGCAACCTATGGCGTAATTTGCGGATTACGTTTTGTATTATGCCAAGTATCTAATTAAAATAAAAAACAGATGCCACGCCAAGCCCCTGCTTTCATTACAACAGTTTTCCCTTTGTCCTTCAGGCAGAAAGACGTTCTGTACAAAACAAAATTTGAATATTTTATTACAAAGGGCTGTCCGGTTTTGAAGCCCAGGCCGCAACTTTATTTGTACAGCTTTGAGCCTCACTTTGTTTAAAGTCGCTCGAATTTCAACAGTTCCTTGCACAATTTATAAAACACATTAAATAAGAAATGAAAAAAACTACAGGGTTACAGCATTTTTTTTGGACGAAAAAGTGATCGAAGCACAGAACTTTTCGTGACTGATCGAGACAACGTTAATTTGTTTGCTTTCTTTGTAGTTTCATCTCGCATAATAATAATTTACGTTATTCAACTTAGGCACTGAACGCTTATTTACTATGTTTTTAGCTTGTAGTTAATCTCAGCCTCATCGTTCTTACAAAAAAAAAAGAGTACGTGTATAGGTAACGTGTAACCTTTGCTGCAGTTGAAGGCGACGTAGTTATTTGCACATTGCTTTGAAAAAAAGTTGTTTTCTTCCGTACAGCAGATGAGTTAACCGAAACGCTCAACGCAAGATCGTAAAAATTTTTTATTCCTTAATTATCAGTGCATGACAAAGCCAATAGTAGATGTCGTTTTGAAAAGTTTTCTGTGCAAGCGTTAAGGACTTCTTCCCCGTTCTGGCAGTTGTAACATGCCTAGCCTTTTGATACCAAGAACAGTTTTTTGACTGTAAACAGAAACACAACTTCTAATTGTATGTTCTTAGCGGTTGTAACTTCAGTCAGGTAGCAAGAGCTTCTGCTTGAATGACGAAGTTGTTGCAACGAACTAGGTACGGTGCTTCAATATGAAATTCAAAATGCCATGAAAACTTTGGTTTGACTTTGACAGGTCGATGAGCGTGTAACCACCAATCAGCTGAGAGTATAAGTTGTCATAACACTTGGATAAACACTGATCACGCCCCCTGCCAGTCGAGATTTTGAAGCATGTTACGTTAATTGAAAATGCTTCTTCTTTTAGTTTAAGTGACATGCCTGCGAACTAGCTGGTTGTAGCTAAGCGAATCCACCACTATGAACATTCAACATATAACGACAACAACAAAGCTTATTATCATTATGCGAGATGAAACTGCATAGAAAGCAAAAAACTCAATCAGTCACGAAACTGAGCTTTTCGATGACTTTTCTGTCCAAATAATGGTTGTCACACTGTAGTTTTTTCATCAGTTATTTAGCCTAAATTCAGAGCTAATGAATCTTTATCGCTGGCTACAAGCCAATAATCTAACCCTTCACATCAAAAGAAAAAAGCCAACTAATTAGCAGAGTTGATCATGCTAAATCATTAGGTCTAATTATTCTGATTATTCGTTTGGTAAATTGACTTTACCCAGGCCGTGTAGGCGTGACACAAATGAGCTGTCTTCGAATCCTTTAGCCTTGACACTAAATGACAGACAGATTGTGTTCAAATTCTTAAGCCTTGACAATTAATAGCACACAGATTGTTTTCAACATCTGCAGGCCTGACACTAAATAGAGCACAACCTTGGTTAGGGCGCTAGACTTGAACTCTGGAGGTCGCCGGTTCAAGTCCCGCTCTGACCACTAAGCTGGAGTTGTTTCTTGCTGGACCCTAACACCTGAGAACTAGCTAGTTGTAGCTAAGAACATCCACCACTATAAACACTCAACAACAACAACAATTACGGGAGTGTCATTGTAACGATAATTCACTGTATTTTATTCACACTGTGCACATCTGTTATTGATTGAGTTCTTGTTCCTTCTGGTATTCCATTTTTGGCATACAGTTTCAGAAGAAACGGAACACTTTTCAAGAAGTTTTGGCGCATTTGTATTATGCGTTTCGTAAGCTTCATTCTTGAGCGTTCGTGACAGAAGCGAACTTGAACGTTCCAAAAGCGTAAGGGCGTGGCACCTATGGCGCAATTTGCGAATTACACTTTGTATTATGCCAAGTGTCCGATTAAAATTTTAAAAAAAAACAGACGCCTCGTCAAACCACTTAAGCAGCCTGCTTTCATTACAGTTTTCCCTTTGTCCTTCAAGCAGACGTCCGGTACAAAACAAAATTTGAAAGTTTTATTACAAAGGGCTATCCGGTTTTGAAGCCCAAGGGACCGTTCATTTTTTATAAGGTAGGGGGGGCTGGTGGGACTTGGGGGGGGCCATGCGAAAAAAATGGCTTTCGAGGGGGGG